AGCATCCATCCACCTCTCTGCCCCTGCTGCCCTCCAGGATATTTCCTTATTCATCATTCTTATTACCTACGTGTAGCAAATAGGAAAAAGGGCTACACGCTCAGCATTGAAGCTGAGTGGAATCTATCTAACGTTCGACTACGCACATAGACGAACCCACTAGCTCATAATTCCATACAATATCATGCACACAAGTTTAACAGTATAATATCACATACCAATCATTAAATAAATTCACCAGTCACAAATCATTACCTTATTTCCTCTTTATTCATTGCTCATAACATAATTACCAGACTAAGTCCATACCTCCTTATTTACAACCTTATGTTCGGGTTTAGAGTCACTACCTACGGCCATGACTCAAGTCTACCTTATTTAATACCTTATGACACAACGCAACCTGATGACCAACGAAGGAGTTCTCCGCTGGGTGGGTGGTACCCCTGTCCCCTTCGGAACGACAGTTCTTGGATCCCGTACGTACGTTTTAACCCGCAGCCGTCGGATATCAGATCCGTAGGGCTGATCCTATCTATTGACATTTATACTTACAATTGTACTAAAGCAGTCCTAGAGTTCCTCTAGGTAACTTAGCCATTTACTTACAACATCTCTACCATTCAGACTTATTCCAACATAAATCTCTATTTCTTATTTACTTCCAAATTACAACATGATTACATTTAATTAACACAAGAGGGGCAACAATGATCAGATAACCAATCATATAACTCAACTAGCGGCCTAGTGGCGGGTGTAACCACCTTCCACTTACCGTCATGCAAATCACACAATTTAGAGTAAGAATACATACCTGGTCATCCTCGTTCAATCAATTCCAATATTACCATAAGATATAAATAAATCACAATTCAATTATAAACAAATAAACAACGTAATCAATCATACGAAACTACGAACGTGAATTTCAAATCTATATACATAATCTAGCGTTAGATGTGCAAGTTCTGACCTCGATTAATTGACGAATTAAACAAAACAAGTCAGCGAATCAAATGGTGGAGAAATTGTGGTCCGCAGCGCAACCAGCGGCTTTGGGACAGGCGGCGACCAGCGGCGTGCTCCGGCTCTGTTCTGCTTTCTCTTCCTCTCTTTTCCGCCGCACACAGATACTCCTTAATTGTTTTGTTTTCTTTTTTGTTCTTTCTCTTCAATTGTGCGTGCGTGTGTATATATAAGGGCATGGGTTTGGGAATCCTTCTACGGGTAGAATTAGGAGTATTATATTGATTTATTATTATTTTATTATAAAATCTTTATATTTAATTATTGAACTGTAACATCTATTTTACTCACCACGCTTTATACGTATGTCCGAAGTTAGCAAACTATATACCGTTGGTAACCAATTTAAGAGACCTATCCGAAAACCCAATTTTCATTTAAAACAGATAACTTTACCAATAATTCATATTTTAGAGTAAATAAATTTAATATTTATTTTTATTAAAATAACGGCTAACTACTAAGCCGGTTTTTGGGTCGTTACAGTTTTGTTGTGCCTTTTGTATATCATACTCCTATTTTGAGTGTAGCAAGCAGTGTTTACAGGTTTGCCGGTTTTGCCTTGAAAGTGGACTTGACTTGGTTTCCTTTTTGACAAGCATCACAAATGCTTTCTTTCTTGTACACATCCTTGGGAAGTCCTTCCACTAACCCTACTTTGGATAGCTTGTGGAGTGTTTTGAAGTTGAGATGACTCAACCTCTTATGCCAAAGCCATAGAAGGTTTGTGTCACCTTTGCCGATTAGGCAGGCCTCCTTGACATTCTCCCACATAACTTCGTAGATGTTTCTGATTCTCTTCCCAGTAAGAATGACTTCATTTGGGGAGATGCTTTTGAGGGATGCCATATCCTTGCAGAATTCCGGGGAATAACCTTTATCACAGAACTACTTATGCTTAGAAGGTTATAATTGAGACCTTCCACATAAGATACCGCATGGATGGTTAGCCCCTTGTAAACTATATTTCCTAGCCTCTTTGTAAGGCCGAAATCATTGCTTCCTCCAAAAATAACTCTTGGACTGTCACATGGAATTAGATTGGTCAAAAGGCTCGCATCACCCGTCATGTGTCTTGAGTAGCCACTGTCTAAGTACTAGACACCTGGGTACTTAGTGGCTTCCTGCATTAGGTGGAGGAAGATTTTTCTACCCAATTCAGTTTGGGTCCAGAGTAGTTAACAGTGTGTGTCCCCACATCAAGTTTGAAGTTCCAGAGAATCTTCCTTGCAGCCCTAAACTTGTTGGGGTTGTAATCATAGTTGTAGGAATAAAACTTCTTACGTGCAAGTGGTGCAGGTTCCTGTTTCCTCCTAGCAAACTTAGGTTGATGAGGCCTACAGTTTTGTCTAGGTTGTGCATAGTGTGGCCTGTGATGGTTGTAAGCATACTTAGGTGGAACAAACAGCTTTTGACGTGGAGGATAATGATTTCTTGGCATTACTCTCCACTCATTATCTCTTGGAAAGCTTCTTCCTGCCTCATGTGTAGTGGGGGTTAGAAGGCTTTCTTCTGAAATTATTTCCTCTTTGAGGTTTGTCCAGTTTCCTATAGTTCTTAGGAGGGTCAACCTTTTTGGAAACTTCTTTTGGCTTTTTCCTTCTCCTTACCTTTCTGCTTATTGTGTTTGGCAGTAGGTTTGGGAGGAATGAACGTTGTTCTCCCTTTCCTTTTGGAATTGGAGGGGTCAAACCCAAGTCCTTCACGACCATTCTTGAGTTGAGTGATCTCAATGAGCTGACTCTTCCGACCTTTAGTCAACGTGAGATTCTCATCACTCAACAACTTGTTCTCCTCTTTAAAGGATGAATGTTTGAAATTTATTTCCTCAAAATCTTCCATAATTTTTTTGAACTTGTCAAAAAGACTCTCAGAAGTGAGTAAGTCTTCATAAGAAGATGAGCATGAGGTTTGTGATGTTACCTCTTGATCAGCATCGTCTTTGGCCATTAGGCAGAGAGTGTCATCTTCTGACATTGTCCAACGATCTTCATGGTTGGACTTCTCAGTTATGCGCTCCATGCAGACGAGGGCTTCCTCATTCGAGCTGGAACTGGATGACTCGTCACTCTCAGCCGCTACCATTGCCTTCTTCTTCTTCTCGTTCCTTTCTCCTTCTCCGTACTTCTCCACTTTTGGGTACGGGCATGCTGACTTCCAATGACCAGGCTTCCTGCGCTTATAGCACAAATGAGATTCGGGGGGAGAGTTACTTACCTGTAGCATTCCCCTGGATGGTCTTCTGGTGGAGTCAGTTTTCTTGAAGAACTTCTTGAATTTCCGGAATTGCTTAACCATCATAGCGAATTCCTCTTCGTAGTTCTCCGTCCTTGAGCTTGGTGGCTGGTTGGTGGAAGGAGTATCACAGCTCCTTGGACATGTCCCTTCGCTTATTGTGACTCTGGGATTTGTCATCAGTGCCGTGGGGTAAGGGGTGACTTGTTCCTCCTCCTTCTTCTTCTCCAGCTCGTGCTCATAGGTTCTGAGCTCATCTAGGAGTCTTTGGACAATGTAGTTCTCCAGGTTTTTTCCCTCTTCCATTGATGTGGCTTTGGTGTACCACTCATTTGCAAGAGACCTCAATAACCTTACATTCTTTTAGGCTTCTGCACTTCTCCCAAAGAAGGATTTGGGAGCAGAAAATGCTAGCAAAAGGGTTAAGAAAAAATCAAAATTTGTGAAGACCCCTTATACCGACCCAAGACTCTTGAAGAAAAAATACAATGCACATAATCCCTTCTCTATAACATTCAGTCATGATGAATGGGATGAGCTGAATTCTTGGCTGGAAGACGATGATGGTCAAGATCCTAAAAGTGTACATTTGAACTTAACAAATGTGCACTCCGTGGATCGTACATTTTTTAGAACCCTTTTGTGCAATGATGCATGGTTGCATAGTGATGTATGTATGATTAATACATTTAATTTTCTTTGGTTTTTTCATCGATTTCACTAACTTTATT